TAAAGTTTATTTAACAGTTTAAAAAATTCGAAATTGAAATGGATAGTCTAGGGAACATACTGTATTAATGTACTCTACTGCATATAATTTGTGAACATTTACATGATTTGTACACTTTGAACTCCCTTTCAGGCTGAAAGGGACTGACAAAATTCATACCGAGGGATTGTCTAAATTCCACTCTAATATATATTCTATTCTCTTTGTTTGCAAAGCCAGAAAAATAAATTCAAACTTTTATAATTAAAACATGGTTTTAGTGGTAGTGCCATGGGGGGCGGAAACGTCATGTGTATGTGTCTGTACCAAAAGAGTGTGTGTAAAGCTTACTGAACCGAAGGCGTGTAATGTAGGTATATACAGTATATATGAATCTCAGTATTTGTACAGTTTAGGAGAGTACATTTGTTTATTGTTAATTGTTTACTTTAAAATAAGTTTAATATACATGTAGTATATTATTTATATATTTAAGTCAACACTATACGCCAAATTTTCATGCAAAGAATATAATTTGATTAAAGTTTACAATAAACTAGTCGTTATTCAAGCTTGATTATAATTGACCAAGGTCGTCTCAAAACACCCTTTTTATACTACTGCAACACCAAAACAAATCAGTAAATTCATCTTTAGTCATCAATATCTGAAAAATAAAAAAATCTACAAAACTTAAATCTATAAATCCAAAACTTTGCTTGTTTTTGTTTGTTTGTATTTTATACCCGTTTAAATAGCTCAACTGATGAGGCCAAAATTTATTGTGTAAATTAAATGGCCCCTGTCGGGGAAGGCTTGTGAATGATAAAGATGAAAATTTAGCGCGGAAAAAATCTCAACATTTAATATGTTTTTCTTTTCGTTTTACGATAGTTTTTTAACGATAACTTTTTTTAAACCATTGTTTTTAAAAAAAAATTCGCTAATGAATCTGAGTTTCAGACCAAAATATTTATTTTGTATTAAAAGGGTCATTAACTATCTGTAACGATCATCAAAAAATTTAAAACGACCTTCTATTGTTTTTAAAAACGTCCTATTCGTTTTCCGTTTATCTTTCATTATTTTTAAAACGAAACAATCGTTGTTCAAAAAAGTGAAAACAATTCATTCCTAGCTGGTTGGCAAAATAGGAGGTAAGGCTGGCTCGGCTGGTGTGAGCCACTTGAGCTCCCCTTCGTGCATAATGTTGAAGAGCCCCGTAAAATGGCTCCAAGTCCTTTAAGTCAGTGGATTTGAATTCTTTATATCTAATAAGAATTAAGATTGAACATTTTCCATACGTTTTCATAATTTTCAAACATATTGAGGATCTTGGACTTCATTCCGCAAATTTTGCGGCTCAGAGGTGATTTCATGGGGCTCATCATATCCTTCTACTACCTGATTTTCTTGAAATTTTTATTACTTGGATACCTTTAGAGTTCGTGTGACCTCCCGCATGTTTTTGCAGACTTGTATGTATACTAAAATGAAGAATATTGACCCTCACCCCACCCCCCAACCTGTACTGGGCATTAACCCCGAACACCTGAATTAAGCTTTTATAGTATAAGTGTCCCAAAAATGCTGTATCTAAGAGTAGAGAGTCTCAATGTTGACGATATTTAATATCTAAAAAAAATTTCTGATCGAATGGTCTGATTCTGATCATATGGCGTAAATTCTGATCGAATGGTGTAAATTCTGAGCGAATGGTGGTATTTCTGATCGAATGGCATAAATTCTGATCGAATGGTGTAAATTCAGATCGAATGGTGTAAATTCAGATCGAATGGTGTAAATTCAGATCGAATGGTGTAAATTATGATCGAATAATGTAAATTCTGATCGAATAGTGGTAATTCTGACCGAATGGTGCCAATTGCAAACATTTAAACTTTAATAAGATATGTTACGAGAATGGTGAAAAGGCTCTAGGATACATCATTTGATCAGAAATTTTGTCTAACACCCTGTGTCTACTGCAGTACTGCCGAGGATGTATGTCAGAAAGAGATAAAAGAAGAATTTGCATTTTATGTTACCAAATTCACCAAATACTCATCAAGGGATGTGGGATCGGGTCATCACCGAAAGCCAATGGAAAACTATAGCAGTACGCATTCAAACAAATGAAAAATGTTGAAATTTATTATTTTTGAAAATGCACAAAATTTAAACAGAAATTCCACGAAAATTTGATAACGATTAAAAATTCTCATTTTCAGAATTCAGCGCTAAAATAATTAATAGTTAACCAATCTGAAAGCCTAATAAGATCAAACAAATAACTATAAAAGAATTATTTAAAAAAAAAATACAAAATTAGGCAGCGCGCCTGAAGAATTGGCTTCAAATGCTGAGGTTGTTATATATGGTCAATCAAAAATTTTAACTTGAACTGACAATACTTGTTGAGTAACAACTTAACAAGGTATGGCAGGACTAATGAGAACAGTTCAATTCATTCATTAAAAAGTATGATAACATGTAAACAGAGCAGATTTCACTGTTTACCAAAAACTGTGCAAACTGTTTACAGGAAATTGCACGTCATGAATTTCTAATATTTCTGAAAACATTTGAACTCAGGCCTTTTAAGGCAGTATTTAAGATTGTCGCAAAATTTTCGTCTGTTGAAAAATTAACTTAGATTGTTTTTGATTACTTTGTTTCTAGTTTATTTTTCAAGCAGGAGTACTATTCATAAGTAGTGAGTGCTAACCTAAAGTAATGTTTAACAATCTTTGTTTGCTTTTTTGTCCAGGGTTATCCACAAAATACGAGACTACAGAGAAAACTAGCTGTAATAGTTTATATTTCGGCTTTGTTATCACATTCACAGTGCAGCCGTAGTACATTTTGAATTTACGAGCCGGGTCAACCTTTCCAGTTTGTACTGTACCTAGCTCTTAGGACAGGACTGGCTGGTGCAACAAGGTTGACGCGGTCATACTTTATAGGGATTTGCCATTTTCTGTTGTGCGCAAATGCCCCGTAAAATTCCAAAAATTAACAGTCTTCGGATAAACTATATATATCTAGCTTGTCTGTCTTTCTATTTGTTTGTTTGTATCCAAACAACGTCAAAACGGCTGAACCGATCAGACCCAAATTTTGTGTGGGACCTAACGTGGCCCCAGGGAAGGTTTATGGCCAATCATACTTTAAATACGTAATCTTAAAAATATTTTTATCTTAAATTGTTTAATTTTGTAAAATTTAGAAAATGCGCGAAATAATGTTAAGAAATCCGCAAATAAAAAAAATTTAATTCTGTACAAAGAGAAGATGCTTACATGATACAGCCACAATTAAAAGTTGAAAAAGAAGATGCCTGGACTAGTTCCTGCAGTAGAAATGTGCATTGTGTCAGGCGTATTCGTAGAAATATTAAAAACAATCAGTTTCCAAATTATAAAACATTGATATCTAATTCACATTTGATCAGACAAAGCTTTTAACTTTTTAAGGGTGACTTAAAATTCCGCGTACAGTCCCTTTAAGCTAGAAAAATGAGATTATCTTCCAAATTATTGACCAGAGAATAAGGACCGTTGTGAATCGTACACGCACTTTTCTTTTCAGTTCCTTGACCCTTTTAGTTTGACTGTATAAACACAACTGAGTGCTACATCAAAGTCTACTACGGTCAACAAGAATGGGTTCACACCCTCTGCTAATGGTGGATGTCAAAGTCTATTACAGTCAACAAGAATGGGTTCACACCCTCTGCTAATGGTAGATATCAAAGTCTACTACTGTCAACAAGAATGGGTTCACAACCTTTGCTAATGGTGGATGTCAAAGTCTACTACAGTCAACGAGAATACATTGCTACTTTTGTTGAATCAATATGTATTCATGAGTTCAATTAATGCATTCCTGAAAATGTTTTGATTATTTGAGTGCTGACTAATTATCTACTTGTAAATGCACAATGAATGTATTCTTAGTTAAGTTTTCAATATGTATACTTTGTTTCAACAAATACGATCAAAACAAAATTATCAAACATTATATTTTTCATTGGCTCATAATAAATTTTCTTTTGTGTTTTATTTTAAGCTGAACCATCATGCAATATTATTTTGTATTTTGTGTTTGAAAATAAATACCATAACTATAACTATATAAAGTATATAAATATATTTTGGGTTAAAATCATGTTAAATCAGGGCTAAGCGTAAGCGTAATTCAATGTAACCCTCCATGCAAAGATGGCAATGGCCGATGTGTTTATTTAAACTATCTATTTTTATTTGTGGGTTCTCCGCAAAAGTGACTTTAAAGGGACAGACCGGCTATGTAAGGTAGTTGAACTGAGAATGCAGTGTTGTGGACAAATTCTTTAGGATTCATTTGAGACCTATAAAACTTTTTAAAGATCTGTAAATCCTGAGTTTGAGCGCAAATTCGACGTTCAAAACTCCTACTTTGGGGGTGGATACGTTTTCAGAATCTAGTTTCTTTTAAATTTTTATATAACGACGACGAAAAATAAAGTAAAAATTATACAGTAAACTAATAAAATGGTTAGGAACATATTTCTCAAAAGAAATTTGTCAATAAATCAATGCTAAAATCAATTATTTAGTTTTCATCATTATATTGAATTTCTTATTTTCTTTGAATTTATTCGCAGATTTCTTTAAATTTATTCGCAGATTTCTTTAAATTCTTCAAATGTCGTCTTTTCAATAATAATTCTAGAAAATTGGCAGAAAATCTTTGTGAATAATGAGAAAATAGAAACGAATAATTGAACAAGATTACTTATTTTCGATGATAAGATTAATTTTTATTTTCTCAACCTGTTCATAAACAACTAATTAGTTTACTGTAGAATTTTGTTTACATTTTAGTAGCCACAAGTAGAAAGCAATTAATAAAAAATATCTATATAATAATTCTCTCCGCTTATACTTTGTTTGTATATTTGTATATTTTTATATTTGCACAAATGTCAGCTATAGCTGGCCAAATTATATGATGACATTTTTTTCAAAAATAAAAATTTTTTGAAAAATTAATTTTAGTTTTTTATTTTAAAATTTTTGAAATATTGTTAAAATTCCACGGGCAACTTCAGCAAATAATGTATAGCAGATATCACTTCTATTATCGATAAAGAGTCTAAATGTCAGATATAAAGATTTGAAACTGAAGCCTAAAAACAAAACAAAAAATACTTCATTTAAACTGTTTTTGCAACTATAGTAAAATCCTGAAATCAGTCTGCTGTGTACGTATTTACAAACTGGTTTAATTTTATGGTTTTAAAAATGTTTATTACTTTTATTACTACACAATCTGAAAAGTAGGAATGCATTTAAAGGGACTGTAAAAGTAATTTCAAGGAACCCTCCTTGCAAAGATGGCAATGCCAGATTTACAATGGTGCCCTTAAAAGCTTTTGCTAATCAATATTTATTAGATATTATTTAGATACCAATGCTAAAAACTGGTTATTTTCAATTGTGGGTTTTTACCAAAAGAAACTTGCGCATATACTGCCGGAATAAATATGGGAATTAAAAACTTTTAAATCTAAAAAATAACATTATCATCCATATTATTAATCATAAAAAGGTAAACAGGGTACCCTGCAGGAATCAGACACTTGATATTACGCTTACAATCTTGTTAAAGGATTTTTAAATTTCACGGGCAACGCCGGGCACTTCAATAAGTCTTTAATAAATTAAGTTAATTGCGATGTATAAATGAAGAGCGACATGGAAATTGGAAGGGGGCAATTAATGAAAGCATTGGTCGGAACTCGGAATTTTGCAGAGCTGTTGGAATAAATAAACAAATAAATATCTTTTATAAACATGGAATGTGAAGAAATTATCGTTATTGTTCAGCTATACTTTTTAAGTCTGAAAGAAGAGCAAAATTGTCTAACTACTACATATTGCAATTTTAGAATTCCAGGATTCATTCCAAATAATTTATGCTTTATTATTTTAGTAGATAGATAGTAGATAGGAGATAGTAGATAGTTTTAGATAGTAGATATTAGATATTAGATAGTAGATAGTAGATAGTAGATAGTAGATAGTAAATAGTAGATAGTAGATAGTAGATAGTAGACAGTAGATAGTAGATAGTAGACAGAAGATAATAGATAGTAGATCGTAAAAGTAGAAAGTAGATAGTAGGTAGTAGATAGTAGATAGTAGATAGTAGACAGTAGACAGTAGATAGTTTTAGATAGTAGATAGTAGTAGTATGTCGGCAACTCTAAAAGGATTGAGCAAATGTTGTTAATTGCACAATATGCGCATGAAACCCCTGTCAAAAGTTTAATTAGAAATTCGCCCAGAGTGATTTTCACTGTTTGGTTAAAAAATTAGGATATTTATCACTAGCTAATTTAAATATTAATTACAAGTTTTAGTTTCTATATCATGAGTTTTTCATCAAACTATCTATCAGCTTATCTATCTCTGGCTATCCTTGTCTATCCTTATATACCTTTGTATATCCTTGTTATTTTTCTTGGCTATCCTTGTCTATCCCTGTCTTTCTCCTTGTCTATCCTTACTTTTCTCCTTGTCGATCTTTGTCTTTCCTTGTCTATCATTGTCTATCCTTGTCTATCATTGTCTACCCTTGTCTATCTTTATATATCCTTGTCTATCCTTATATATCCTTATCTATCTTTGTATATCCTTATTTTTCTCGTCTATCCTAGTCTATCATAGTCTATCCTTGTCTTTTTCCTTGTCTATCCTTATATATCCTTGTCTATCCTTACTTTTTTCCGTGTCTATCTTTGTCTATCCTTTTCTTTCTCCTTGTCTAAGAAGGTCAAATTTATGCAACATCGCTGGTAGGACTTTGGGACCTATTTGCTTCTCTTGTTTTGATTTTAGACCAAGCGTGATATAATGCAAATGTTAATATATACTCTAAAAAATCAAGACATTCTTGTTCTTGTTATGATGACTCTTCAAGTTCAACAAGACGTGTCAAATTGATCGAAAACATATGTAAGATTTCAATCCTATGGGCATTGCAATTAATTTTATTGTTTTTTTTTACGTGTAGACGCATTTTTTAGACACCTATCTTAACTAACCAGAAAACTTTTAAACTCGATTTAAACTAGTTCAATGAACATTAGACATTTAAATTTTTCATTGCGAATAGACCCTTTTTACTTAAATGGTGTTTTGCTGATTTACTAGAAATATTTTCTTAATAACAACATCAAAACGCTAAAGTATTGCTATAATGTCGTCTTTATATTCCATTGTTTTCTGGTTATCACTGCCTGTATCTATGATATTAACGTTTATACATGATGCAGTGGAATTCTGCATGACAGTAGAATTCAAAAGAACATTACAGTCTCCATTTCTTGTTTTATAATCACTAGGTGAATACTTTCTATTTGCTGATGTAAGGATTATCCGGGCTTGAAACTTAAGCTATCTTTTTAAAATTATGGCACTGATAAGAATAGGTTAAAGGGACTGTAAGTGTAATTTCTAACGACCCTCCTTACAAAGAGAACAATGCCCATTTACCCCTTGCCGCGAGAAGAGAGATTCAACCACGTTGTATCATTGATCGTTTTTAAAAACGTTCAAAACATATATTTTCGGTTTTTTTTTTTTTTAATGATCGTATCGTTGGTCAGAAAATACCATTCGTCATAACGATAGAACAATTCGTTTTTACTTTAAAAAACAAAACAAGGATACAATAGTTTTCTTTAAAAAAATTAAAATTTCGCTAATAGATACGAGTTTTTGGCATATAATTTAAATTTTTACACATGTTTTTTTATCAAGGGAAATTAAAGTAAGGTTTTCGACATTTAATTTCATTTTTTTACACAAGACATTTTTAAGTTTGTTGTCCGAGATATTTGGCTTTTACATCCACCAGAAACCTTTTTTGTGCATAACATCGCAAAATGATAAAAGAAGCTTATTTAATTATACATATACAAAAATAAATTCATGCTGTTAGAGATTCTTGCTATCAAAGTATAAATCTGAATGTTTGAAAGAAGAGAGATGATCAAAAATGTCCTCATCTCTGAATGGTTCATCAAGTTGTTGCATAAAAATAATTCGAGAATTCTTCTTCTGTTCAATTATCAGAAAATCTTAAATTAATGTTTAAGACTTGGACCTGGATCCGGGTCAATTTTTTCCAGTGAGGATTAAATGGATTCTTAGGACACTTACTAACCTAACTTTATGCGCACCAATTCACAAAACATATTAGTTTTTGTGAAATACTTTAAATTGTGCTTTAATTAAAAGCGTAATTTAGTTTTCAGACCGCCTAGAGTTGCAAAGTTTTCTGTGACGTACAGAAATTCCATTCATATGCATAGATTTCAAATTGTAATTTACAGTATATTTATTCATAAAATAACAGTGTTTGTTTGCATATTATACATACAAGGTGTCCCAATAAACATGAGAATTCAGTGAAGACTTTTATATCGTCTTCGATCCATGTGGCATTTTTTCATGAACACAATTATTGCAGTATTCCAGATTAAACATCTAATATTTGAGATTTTCATAATGTGGTCTACCATTTTCTTCAAAATTGACGGAGATATTGCAAAATGTGTACAAATATACAAGTTTCAATTTATTAAATAAATCAAAATTGTCTTAATATCTTATATCTTCGTCATTTTTTAAGTTACAAGAAAGGTAGAAAAACTCGTCAGACGTAAAGCATCATATCATAAATCGAAGACAACTTTCAAGTCGTCTTTCAATTCCCATGTTTGTTGATACACCCTGTATAAAATGGTTTTCAAATATTCTAAAACAAATTTATTCCGATAAGATTTTCTTCTTCTTTTTTCATTTTTACGTTGAGAATGGATTAAGAGTAACACTAGAAGACACCATCACCTGAAAAAGAAAATATTTAAAGGGACTGTTTTAAAATTTCAAGGGATCCTCCAGTTCAATCCAGCAACGGTACCCTTTAAACCTTTTTCTGATCAATCATGCATACACAATTACATCGTTTTTCTATCTTGACTGGTGTTTAATTCTGATAATTCCTCCCTTCCTTCTGAAGCAGAAATGCCCAAGTCACTTATGTCGAAAACACACAATATTGAAATCAATTATATTTTGAAAAGAACATAGATATTAAATTCAGTTTGATCAGAAAAAGCTTTAAAGGGCAGCGTTGAGGATTGGACGGATATGCCACTTTAAAAAAGGAGAGTCAGTAGTCAGTAGTCACATAAAACTACGTTTACAGTCCCTTTAAGGAACAGAGGTCATATTTGCGAAACAGAGAAAGCATTTTGAAATTTCAAAATTGAGTTTATACGATGTTGAATCTAATTAACAGCGGCAAGTAGTTGAGTTAGGTATTGTTAGTTGAACTACTCTGGAGGACTCTCAGCAACACGAGGAATAATTGAATTCTAATATTAGGAAAGATTCATTCCGAAACATATTGAACTCATATTTTCGAAAAAACATGTCAAATGATTTGGAATGATATATTTTTTATTCTGAAAAAATTCTTGGTAAAAAAGTGTCTCCTGTGCAGTGTGCATGAATTATCTGCTTGAGTTGCACAGTACTGAATATACTAGATACTGTACACTGTACACTAGAGTGCACGTGAAAAGTGTACAGCGAGATAAACACAATATTTTTGTTGTCCTTATGTCGTGTTACCTGGGATAAAATAGATTTAGCATGAAGAGGTTTATTACTCCCAGTTTCAGCTACAAACTCTCCTGCTAGTGTCTTGGCATCACTAGATAGAAAGATAGATAGATAGATGATAAGCAGATAGATATCTATGGATATATATGAAGTAAATGCCCTACTCCAATAAATTCTGTTAGCTCAGTACCAATCCAGGTATAACCTTGTGAATCCTCAAGTATCTATCATACAGATACACCTCAATCTCAAACTCAAGGTTCCTCAGTAATACTTTAGTCAATATCAATCCGGATACGACTCTCTGTATTCTTAGGTACCTGTCTTACAAGATACAACTCAATTTCGAACGCCAGGTTCCTCAATAATACTTTATTCGATATCAATACAGATACAACTCTATCTGTATTCTTTTATGTGTATCATACAGATACACCTCAATCTTAAACTCTAGGTTCTTTTTACTAATACTTTAGTCAATATCAATCCAGATATGACTCTCTCTGTATTCTTAGGTATCCTACAAGATACAACTCAATTTTGAACGCCAGGTTCCTCAATAATACTTTATTCAATATCGATACAGATACAACTCTATCTGTATTCTTTTATGTGTATCATACAGATACACCTCAATCTTAAACTCTAGGTTCTTTTTACTAATACTTTAGTCAATATCAATCCAGATATGACTCTCTCTGTATTCTTAGGTATCCTACAAGATACAACTCAATTTAATTTCTAGTCTACATTTATCTTTCAAGATGTGACTCAGGTCCCTCTCGTTCGCTAAACAAGGAACAATTACTCTAACACCATAATTAAGGAGAGTTTTATTCCAACTAACGTATACTTTGAGCTCTATGGTACAGGTTAGAATAATGAATGTAATATTACAAGTTTTACGTAGTTATTTACAAGCGTGGTTAGGTTAAAGGTAATATATCTAGGTGTGTTCAGGTTTATAAATATGGGGTTTGCTATAATAATTATTACATACTAGCTTAAGGGCCTGGCGTTTCCCATGGAAAATATTTTTTCAAATGTTGAAAAAAAAATTTCGATTTTTTTTAGCCTATATCACGGCCACCCATAATTGTCCACAAATAATTTCAGCCCATTCAGTCCAGCCATTTGGCCGGCTATAGGCAACATATATTTATATATACGAATGTCTTGTTTTATTATATAGATACATAAAAAGATGAAAAATAGATAGATGTATACCTCCTGTTAAGATCACCCCTAAGTAGGAGAAGACAAAACAACTGTTCATGTGACACATCAGGATACCTAGATAGANGTTCCCAACTCTAGTGTTATCATCTCATCATCTGATGATAGAACCTAAAACAAAATTAACTTTAAATAATTTTACTTAAATTAGAAATTTTCCGGAAAATTAATTTCCAGAACTAAAGATTTCCTTGAAAACAAAGCTGGAATTTTATTAGGTTGGAAAGGTGTTTGAGCTGGGCCTTGGCCGCAGTTGTTGGTTGCGGTTGGAGACGGTACGTAGAACCGCCCAGCACAATCTCCAAGGTCGACTACTATGGCTGCCAGCGACCTCTGGGACAGCCCTATTGACGTGGCCATCCATCTCGGACTCAAGTCCTTCAAAACCCTGGAACGCCCATCCCAGAAAACCATCGAACGCCTCTCTTTGAAAACTCTAGAGCGCCCCTCCTGGTAAACCTAAGAACGCTCTTTCTAGAAAACACTGGAACGCTCCTTCTTGAAAACCCTGGAACGACTCTCCTAGAAAACCCATGAACGACTCTCAAAGAAAACCCATGGACGCCCCGCCCCCCCCAGAAAACCTTCGATCGCCCCTCCTAGAAAACCTAGGAACACCCTTTCTAGAAAACCCAGAAACGCTCTTTCTAGAAAACCCAAGAACGCCTACCTCTGCAAGAGTGGCCAAGGTATCAAACGGAGAATCATATTCCGCCATTCCTCCGGCAACGTCGAGAAAAAATCTAGAAATAAAGTTGATTGGAAATGTTCTGAATATTGAAAAATTCAGATCATACAAACGCATTTATCATTCTAGAATTTAAGAAGTCAACCTACTCAACTTAGAACTTTAAAACCAAGCTTAGAACTTTTCCGTTGTTCGACTGAGTTCAAATTGGTAAAGGGGTTCATAAGTTAAGATCAGACATACAAAGAATCAGACAGACATACAAAGAATTAGACAGACAGAGATTACTGCTTAATATCTTGATCGCTAAATGATGATGAAAAGCAAAAAATTACAATGTGGATCACCCTGGAGTTAAAAAAATCCTAAATTTTAAAAATTTGTTAGAACCAAATTAAGTAAAAATATTACGCTTTGCAGTTCATCGCTTCGTGTTTAATCTTGACAGCAGCTGTTTTCCTTTCCTGGTCGTTAGTGAAGGAGATCTGAACGAAGCGACATTCGTTTATTTCGTTCGTTCTTTGTTAATTCGTTCATGAGGTAGTTTCCTGTTTAATTGTTCGTTAAATTGTTTGTTAAACTACCATTTTGATCGTTAATTATCCCTTAGTTTGTTTTTTAGTTTACGTTCTTTTGTTTGTTAAAGGGACTGTAAGCGTTATTTCAAGTGACCCTCCAGTCTCCATGCAAAGATGGCAATGCACGATTTACCACAGTACCATTGAAAGGTTTTATGAATTAGATATGTTTTTGTCAACTTAAACTGTTTAATTTGATTTACGGTTATTTGCAAACGTGACTTGTGCATTTCTTGCTTGTAAGGCACAACGGAGAATTTCACATAATAAATACACACTTTTCGAGTCAGAAATTTTTTTTTTGATCAGTTTTGATCAGATTAAGATTTCAAGGGTATCATTATAAATCGGCCATTGCCATTTTTGCATGGAGGGTTACGCTTACAGTCGTTGATGTATCTTATTTATTACTGATGTTCTTCGTGTTTATTCATTTCTTTTCAATTTTTTTGGTCTAATTAGATCCCTCGATTTGAAAGTTTCTTCGTATTTTTCAATAATCATCATATGAGATTGTTATTTTGTTATCTTTTATCTTAAATTGCTTTTTTTAAACTAATTTGCCAATGGTTTGTTCTGGTGATTGTTCCCTAGCTTAGTTATAAGTTATCCTTTGTTTTTTAATTCATTTTTTTCTTTAAAGTTAATTTTTTTTAAATTTCAATCTTCTTTTGAACTAGAAATAAGTAAAAAATGTCGCTTTCCTTTCGTCGAAGTACATTGTTCTGCAGCATGGAGGTTATATATTTTCTAGTACAATCAATCAATCAATCAATCAATCAAAAAATCAATAAAATGTCAGTTAATCAACCAAAATATTAATCAAACATCAACACTTTGAGAAGAGGCATTGCATTAAACTGATCATAAAATTGATTAATTGATTAACATAGACTAAAATCGATTTTTCTTTTCAATTCATTTTTAACTAGCTCAAGGGCCCGGCGTTGCCCGTGGAAAAAATATTTATCTTTAATCTTTATCTTATGCAAACCTACGGATTAACTTAATTCCTCTTAAATATCCCTGGTGATCATACCCTGCAGGGATTACTCTAATTGAGGGATCAAGGTTTTATCCTCAAATTTAAAATAACCCAGATTAAATATCGAGATCAAGTGTTCAAGATCTACGATTCACAAAATTTCCACCCTCTGGAAATATCACTGATCGAATGATCAAATGGCCCCGACTGACTGATTGATTGATTAAATCCCTGGCTACTCTGTTCTGAGCCTCGGTTATCACAAGTTCGAAATTTTTTGGTTTTAAGAATTGATAATCCTCGAAATAGTCCTGAAATTTATTTCATTTTCAATCAAATATTCGGAAATGTAAGAAAACTCGAGTTATGATTTTAAATACTCCAATGAACATGAAACACGGCTATTGTGCAGTGTATACAGACCCATTTCACTCAATAAGTTGATTGGTAGCTTTTACTGCTTCTCACTGCATATTCCATTAAATTATTTAAAATTATTTTACAATAATCAAATGAAATGATTTCCTTAAGCGTAGCACAAATGGTCTCTATCGCCTGAAAAGGCATGTGTTTAATCATAATTTAGGAATTTGTGTCAAACTTGCACCATTTTATGTACAAAAGTGAATACAAGTACTGTACAGTGATATGTGTATAGGTATATAGATCTCAGAAATTGAAAGTATGAGTAAAGGGCAGAAAAAATCTGGCTTCTGCTTTGAAACTTTCTATCTACATCATTCATATTTTCCCCCCCCGAAAAATTATATTTTGTATGCCTTTTTAAAAACCATTTTTAGTCCTTTTTGCAACCAATATTTCAGTTCGGGCAAACGAGGATTATTCTTAAAAACAATCCGCCATTGACTTACCTGAGACCCAGTTTGCCACTTTGACGTCAGCAGCTCCGAGAAATAAGCTTCTATATCTAGGAAGGCCTCGTCCAGCAGATAACATACACTATCCTCACGTATCAACTAAATGACAACAACACTAATAATGATAATAAAAATAACAGTAATAATAATTTTGCGTGGGACCTCATATGACCCCAGGGAAGGTTTATGGATGCTCAGAAGCACAAGTTGTATCAAAAGCTTTTGATTTTTGTAAAATTTTAAAAATGCGCAAAAAATATTTGAAAATCCGGTAACATCTTTTTGTTAGTGTTTATTACTATAAAAAGAGAAGATGCTCACAGGTAGAGGAGGTAGAGGATGGGCGCAGAGTGCCCTAAAAGTTTAGTTTGTAAATATTTATCTTACTAGTAAACATAAACTTAAACTCTTTAGAACACTAACAACTTGTCCTAGCATCAATTAATCGAGTTAAACCACTTGTCAGTCCAATTTAATCACAATTTTATAGAGACTTCAGAATTTAACAATTTAACCGGAGCTAACAAGATGTATCAAAGCTGAAAACTTTGGAGCTGTGGATCTTAAGATCAATGCTTAATCTCTTCTTATTATTAATCTCAAGATTAATTTAATCTTAAGTTTGTATCCAGAAAAGTGTATAAATTCAACCAATCAGAGAGGCGTATCAGAATCTGGAAATTTTGAATTTTGCGCGCTATTGATACGAGAACTCTCATTGGTCAGAATCTGGTAGAGATGTCCCAAAAGAGGGAAAAGGAGTGGATTATGCAGATAAAGCGATCGATATTGGAATTCTTAAGTTTTCAGTTTAGGTCAGGTTAGCTCTCTCGATATTCTGAGATGGATATCTGGAGAAGGAATTTAATTGTCATGATTTGAGAACTATGTACATTATATTCTATTCACTTTTGGGTTCAAGACAGCACCTGAGCTCATTCTTTCTCATACTTTCTGTGGGGTTAAACTATTTACCTGAACAACCAAACAACGACATGGGAATGCATGCAAATTAAAAATTCTACTTATGTCGCGAAGGATCTGTACACATTTTAAAGAGGCTAATCCCGAATGTTCTACCTGGAATGTTCTGAGGAGAAGTTCAAACTTAGCTGCTGCCTGATTATCATGATGACTCCATTGTCACCAACCTGTAGATTTTCATCAACTTGGGGGTGCCATTTCCAGAAATCTGTAAATGCTCGTGAATGCCATCATCTGGTTTACCAATTAAAACTGTTATAATATGAATGAAAAAACTTTGGATACGAATGTTTCTTTTGACCATAGCCAAGAAAGCTGAAATGAATGATGACATAAAATTGGTGTGAATGATTTGAGATAGATTACAATGATATGAGGGTAAATATGGTGAATTTGTACTCTTGAGCTGACCCTTCCAAATTCATCATTCCTATCAATTCTCCAGCCCTGATCAATAACAACATTAACATCCAAAATTGGTATTACATCATTTGCATTCCTCTTGTGCAGGGTGTCCCAATAAACATGGGGATTCAGTGACGAATTCGATATCGTCTTTTTAAATAATTCTTTGATTTAGTATAGTGATACATACTGAGAAAGCTGTAATCTGTAAGAGTTTTGTCTACTATGTTCACATTTTTTGTTTATTTTTTGACTGCATACGGTTGTATTTAGTAAAACAAGAAAATTGTAGTAAACAAACAGAATAAACTTGTCCGTCTTCACGGTTCACAGTCACGGAGACATTATAGACAGTCTTTTAACCTTTTCACAAAATAAACTCTAGCAGACATAATAATATTATGGCTTTTGAAATTAGGTATTACAATGTTAATTCATAGCAAAGACGATATCGAATCCATGTTTTCTGGCACACCCTGTATCATACCCCTCTAAGTCCAATATTAGGTTTTCCTTATCACTTGTGCACTGCTCACGTTTAATCCTTCCCCAGCCTCATACCTACCCTTCAATCCCATTTCAGATTATCATTCATACTCTTTAGCTGAGCTCCCATGAGCATTTAAAGATTTTTAGTTTCTACAATATGACACGCCTGAGCCCGAGAAAAAAATCACTCATTGGGTGATACCTTATAAAGTTAGAACAGTTAAATCATTTATAAATTTGGAATTCCCATTTTTTCCCAGCGTTTATTAAAACTTTTTGTTGAATCAATGTGCCCTTCATTATTTCAAGTTCATGAGTACATAAATATTCCTTGTACAGATTTCCAAAGTGTGTAACTTGTTCTATACCCAACAGTAGAACCTTGTGAACTAGCTGAGGACTGATAGTAGCAGATACCTAGATCATTTTTATAATAATCTAAACAGGTAAACATAATGAAATGGCAAGGTACCTAGCTGAGGGCTGATAATAGCAGATACCTAGATCATATTTATGATAATCTAAACAGGAAAACATAATGAAATGGCAAGGTACCTAGCTGAGGGCTGATAGTAGCAGATACCTAGATCATATTTATAATAATCTAAACAGGAAATGAAATGGCAGGATACCTAGAATTTTTATTATTTAACAAATGAATCCAATGCATAATCTGTAGAAAAAAAGACACCCATCGTCAAGGTTAAAATGCAAGGAAAGTTATTTCAGAGGTGTGCGCATCTTTTGTACTGCAGTGTACTGTCTCTGGGCGGAAATGTAAACATAAGACGGATGTCACAGCCTGACATGAATTATCAAAATTTAATGCTGTTAACTTCTTCGGATACTAAACGAACACAGATGCATCTATTCTTGTTTACATATTCCGCCCAGAGAGAACTGGTTTCAATACAAACGCAGAGTATACTTAACTGCAATTGATTTTCCTTGCATTATAACCTTGCCCATTGTAAACCATAATAAGCTTAACAAAAGTGTATACCATAGTGACAAAAAAACCAGAAGTGGTTAAGATGTTTTTTCCCCCTGGGGGTTTAATACATTTTAAAGGTAAGGAAGATGAAATCAGTTCAGTTACTAAAGTCCACCTAAAAAGTTATAAAATTGCTTATTTCTTTGTTCTCCACTGTGATCAGATCTCTAAACAAATACAAGCAAAACACACCAAGGAGATTGTGATCAGCTAAAAGCATTTACACAATGCCAGCTTACTATTTGATTGATTTAAGAACTAGTCCTACATAACAAGATAACTTACAAGTCTGCTCCATTGTCACCAACCTGTAGATTTTCATCAACCATTTGATAGATAGTTACAGGACTTGCAGTAGTAAAATATCCGTCCATATCCTCCTAAAGAATAGTAAGTTCCAATATGTCTTCCATATTTTTATAAAAAAAAATGTTCTGCCATTTGAGCGTATGATGCAAATTAATACAAACTTTGAGGCGAAATAAAAAACTTTTAAAATTACAGAGAAATGTGAATTGTCCTTTTTTACATCAATAATTAACCTTCCCACTTAAACAATGAACATCAAAAATAGACCTCACAAATTACTTATAAAACTGATTTTGAGAAACTTTTAATCAAGAAAATTACCAATATTTCAGTTAGAAAACAAGAAGTTTTGTAATTTTGTCTCTCAGATAAATTTACTTAGCAGTAAGCGTAATTTATACAGAACCATTTCAACGAACAACCCCTATACAATCTCACCTCTGGATTTCTATCTGAGGTCCAATCCTCTTTCTCCAGTCCTATTGCGTTCCTCATCCAGGAAGAGTAATTTGTTCTCATCTGTTCCATATAGGAGTTCATTAGTTTCTCCACTACCTAAATATAATACATAGATGTAGCATGAGATAAGAAATAAATGAAGAATATGGGAAGTTGAGGATTGATGTCTTTTAAAATATCTAAGCTAGAGAAAGGAAAGATGATAAATACCTCCTCGTTCAGGAGTGGAGGTATCAGGTTCTTATTCATTCCAAGGGAGCTAGATCCCATCAACTCAGGGCCTAAGATAAACACAGAGGTCATGAAACAGGATAGAGGTCTAAGGATTAACATCAGAAGCAGTCAGGGTTAGAGGGCCAAGGACAGAGGTATGTGGATGAATATCAGCAGAAACGAAGTCTACCAAAGATAGAAAGGGATAGGTCAAAGATTAAAAGTCAAAAGCGTATGTTAGGGAAAGGCCACCATTCCGGTCAAGGTTTAGATCAAGTTAGTAATTCTGATCAAGGTCATGGTTTATGGCTAGATCAAGGTCAAGGTTTATATATAGATCAAGTTCAAGGTTTATGGATCAAGGTCAAGGTTTAAGTCCAGATCAAGGTCAAGGTTCATGTATAGATCAAGGTCAAGGTTTATGTCTAGTTCAAGTTCAAGGTTTATGTCTAGATCAAGTTCAAGGTTTATGATTCAAGGTCAAGGTTTATGTCAAGATCAAGTTCAAGGTTTATGTCTAGTTCAAGGTCAAGGTTAATGTCTAGATCATGGTCAAGGTTTGAATCTAGATCAAGGTCAAGGTTTATGTCTAAATCAAAGTCAAGGTTTATGTCTAGATTATGGTCTAGGTTTATGTCCAGATCAAGGTCAAGGTTTAAATCTAGATCAAGGTCAAGGTTTAAATCTAAATCAAGGTCAAGGTTTATGTCAAAAATCAAGGTCAAGGTTTATGTCTAAATCAAGGTCAAGGTTTATGTCTAGATCAAGGTCAAGGTTTATTTCTAGATCAAGGTCAAGGTTTATGTCTAGTTCAAGGTCAAGGTTTATGTCTAGATCATGGTCAAGGTTTAAATCTAGATCAAGGTCAAGGTTTATGTCTAAATCAAGGTTAAGGTTTATGTCTAGAACATGGTCTAGTTTTATGTCCAGATCAAGGTCAAGGTTTAAATCTAGATCAAGGTCAAGGTTTAAATCTAAATCGAGGTCAAGGTTTATGTATAAATCAAGGTCAAGGTTTATGTCTAGATCATGGTCTAGGTTTATGTCTAGATCAAGGTCAAGGTTTATGTCTAGATCAAGGTCTAGGTTTATGTCTAGATCAAGGTCAAGGTTTAAATCTAGATCAAGGTCAAGGTTTAAATCTAGATCAAGGTCAAGGTTTATGCCTAGATCAAGGTCAAGGTTTATGTATAGATCCAAGTCAAGGTTTATGTCTAGATCAAATTTAAGGTTTATGTCTAAATCAAGGTCAAGGTTTATTTCTAGATCAAGGTCAAGATTTATTTTAAGATCAAGGTCAAGGGTTATGTCTAGATCAAGGTCAAGGTTTATTTCTAGATCAAGGTCAAGGTTTATGTCTAGATGAAGGTCAAGGTTTATGTATAGATGAAGGTCAGGGTTTATGTCTAGATCAAGGGATCAAGGTCAATGATAAAGTATAAGTTAGTTTACCTGGATAGGTTTGTTCCACCCACTGTAGAAGGGAAACATACTCTTGTCCTTCTAAACCTAAAATATTTTGATGAGAAAAGTGAAAAGTAAATAAAGAACTAAAGAACTTGCAATTCTCATCATTGAATTCAATCTTTTGGGAAGAAACGATGAATTTTAGGAAAAAGCTTCCCTCTAATTTTTCTCCACAAAATTAAAATACTTCGTTATAGCCTAATTTGTTATGCCCATGCAAGGTAAAAGTTAAAACATAGAATTTAAATTTAGATTTCAGATTGAAATATTTAATGGCAAACATTGCCAAAGTCNCTGGAATATATTTTAATTGGTGGATAATAATAATTGTATACAGACGATCTTCAACCTCAGTATGATACAAGGATACAGTGTACTGTGATATATTGTATTAATAGATAAACACCTACCCTCTGCTATTATTGTATGAAGACGATCTGCAACCTCAGTATAATACAAGGATTTATTGTATTAGATAAACACCTACCCTCTGCTATTATTTTATACAGACAATCTTCAACCTCAGTATGATACAAGGATATAGTGTACTGTGATATATTGTATTAATAGATAAACACCTACCCTCTGCTATTATTGTATGAAGACGATCTGCAACCTCGGTATGATACAAGGATTTATTGTATTAGATAAACACCTACCCTCTGCTATTATTGTATGAAGAAGATCTGCAACCTCAGTATAATACAAGGATTTATTGTATTAGATAAACACCTACCCTCTGCTATTATTGTATACAGACGATCTGCAACCTCAGTATGATACAAGGATACAGTGTACTGGAATATATTGTATTATAAAACACCTACCCTCTGCTATTATTGTATGAAGACGATCTGCAACCTCAGTATGATACAAGGATACAGTGTACTGGAATATATTGTATTATAAAACACCTACCCTCTGCTATTATTGTATGAAGACGATCTGCAACCTCAGTATGATACAAGGATACAGTGTACTGGAATATATTGTATTATAAAACACCTACCCTCTGCTATTATTGTATGAAGACGATCTGCAACCTCAGTATGATACAAGGATACAGTGTACTGGAATATATTGTATTATAAAACACCTACCCTCTGCTATTATTGTATGAAGACGATCTGCAACCTCAGTATGATACAAGGATACAGTGTACTGGAATATATTGTATTATAAAACACCTACCCTCTGCTATTATTGTATGAAGACGATCTGCAACCTCAGTATGATACAAGGATACAGTGTACTGGAATATATTGTATTTTGGCGGAAAACATGCCACCAAGTGATGTTTCGCAATCCGTAAATCCTCGAGCATTATCATTCTAAACAATATTTTCTAAGAAATATCATATTTTTCAATAAAGTAGGTCTTTTACTAGTGTCCTAAACGATTTTTTAAAAATAAACAGATTTAAACTATGCTTTTATCTATGTTGGAAAAAAACCTCAGCTGCACATCATCAAAAAATGGAAGAGATCTACATTATTAACACTAAAAAATGGAAAAGATCTACACTATTAACACTAAAAAATGGAAGAGATCTACATTATTAACACTAAAAAATGGAAGAAATCTACATTATTAACACTAAAAAATGGAATAAATCTACATTTTTAACACTAAAAAATTGTTTTAATGTCTCTTTCAAAGTTCAAAACAACTTATATCTTTTAATAAATTGAAGCACCCTGCAAAAGTAATGTTGAGCATTTTGGTTTTAATCCCTGGAATTCCAAGATAGCTGCCTACCCTAGAGTTCCAAGATGAATGCCTACCTTGGAATTTCAAGATGGATGCCTACTCTGGAATTCCAAGATGGATGTCTACCCTGGAATTCCAAGATGGATGCCTACCTTGGAATTCCAAGATGGAAGTCTACCCTAGAATTCCAAGATGGATGCCTACCCTGGAATTCCAAGATGAATGTCTACCCTGGAATTCCAAGATGGATTCCTACCCTAGAATTCCAAGATGGATGCCTACCTGATAACTTCAAGATGGCGGACCAGCCACATCTTGTTCTCCTCCCTTATGTCCAGCTGATTGGCCTCGATTTTCTGGTTTATGCTTTCACGAAGCCGGGCCATACATCGATCTCGGAGCTTCTTGGGTCGACCTGGAAGTATTTGTCACAGAAAAAATATCTCTCCATGATTGTTTGTGAATCTCTGAAGATATGACGCTAAGGTTTGGGTAATTTAAAATTGTTCCAACTGAAATATCTCTAAAACTGTTTAAACTTTTATGTTATAAATTTCAGGATTAAGCATTAATTAAATTTTTCTACGATATCCCGAGGTGGTTATACCTTCCAGGGTTAAGTTAAATTTAGGGAGTAAGCATTAATCCTTATATCAAAGTGTCCAAATTGAATATCAAGATCAAGCATTTAAGATTTAAAATACTCGACAGTCGAAAGTTTTTTCGAGAGATATATTCAGTTTATGATTAAAAGAAAAAAAATAACGCCACTATTTTTTGGTTCTTTTGTACTGTTTACCTGGAGGCAAAAAACCGGTTTGCTTCTGTCTAAGTAAACAATCTTCATCAGCCTTCTCCTCTCGTTCAATTATTCTGAGTGCTGTTACTAGTTCCTAATTCATAAATACATTACATTTTTATTAGAGGCATATATGTATACTTTACTCTTGTAGGTCTGTCTCTGTTTGTATCCAAAAAACATCAAACCGGCTTAACCGATCCAGTCCAAATTATTTGAAGGACCTCACATGACCCCAGAGAGGGTTTATGAATAAAAAATGTTGCCTTAAAAAATTTAGATTTTTCAAAATCCACAAAAAAAATTGTTATTTAATTTGATGATTTTAAAAGAGAAATGCCGCAACAATAAAAAGATAACAGTGAAGCCTATAATATTCAAATTATTAAATCATTAGGAGACCATAAGTCAATGAAATAGGGGTATTTATTTTGTTGAAAAATAAAAAGTTAAATATTAAAATAAGGGATAAATCCTGCCATTGTTTCAGTCCAATTTATTTGGAATCTTTTGAAAATTATATTTTGGTAATTCATTAACATATTCCCATGATTTATACTAATACCTTTATATTGGCATATTTGCTAACTTAAATTACTTTATTCCTTAGATTTATATTTTTAATAATTTCTATACAATCTCTAAACACACAGTAAGTAAATTACTTCAATTAATTTCGATTACTTTATTCCTTAGATTTATATTTTTAATACATTGTATANCCTATGTAATTCGAAGAGTAAATCATCCCTTGAGTTCTCTAGGTCCACCAGGGACTGGTGAGCCTAAAAAGTAAAAATATTTAAAAAATAAATAAACAATATTTCAAGTGAACCTTCATCAAGCTTTTATTTGATCAATAATGAGTGAGATATTCATGTTTAAAAATTGAAAGATTATTTTTCTTAATTGCGGGTTCAACAAAAAGAGTGAATAGCAGATTTCTGTTACAGAAACAATGGAGGAAATTGTCGGAATTAAATACTTTCTAAGTTAGAGAGAAAACCGTCGATATCATTCACATTTTTTATCAATTTTTACTATTTCTATCTGTCGTTCAATCTTTCATTATAATATGAAAAATTTAGTTTTTCAACGTTTCTCTAAAAAACTGTTGAAGCCTAGAAATAGTTGAAAAAAAATTTAAATATAAAAAGGAAAGAAATTCTTTTCATGAAAATATCTACCCTTGATACCTGTAATAATCTTCCCTCTACAATACTCTGCTCTGTTCGTGCAACAGTCTCTGGTACAGTAAATATATGCTTCAAATTCTCTCTAAAAAAAAACATTTTTTGAACGGTCAAATTTTATCCTCTATCAGCCAACCCATGAAGGTCAATGTTATATTTTATGATTTTATGAGAAACTTTAAATCCAAAATTTCAGAATCCCTATGACTTCTTCTTACTAATGACTTATGCCCCTAAAGATCCAGCCTCTAGAGGCCATATCAACATAACATTTATTGTCAATTTTGCAAGAATTATAATTCTTTTATAATATAATTTTGCAATTACATTTGTACTTTTTGGCCTAGAATTGATCAATGTTTTATTTTGTAAATAAATTCTAAACTTCTTGCCTCCGTCCTCTTATTTTTTTGATCATATTTCGTAAAAAGGTTGCAATTGATATAAAACACGTCTTTTCATGATACTTCCTTCTTAAAATTTATTTTTTATCCCAAAACAAACTTTAACTTTTCGCAAGAGACTGAATAACTTCGAAAGAGAAGCTTGATAACATATTTTTAATTAAGAAGACGGGTGGTGGTATTTTTTTAAGCATGCCCCCCACCTTGCTGTAGCTAGCTGACTGTGTCTAAGGTTCTCCTCCCTAACCTCTCCAAGAGCTTGATGAAGATCAGGAACTATCTCCAGAGCAGACTCCATCTCTACCATACACTCCTACATATTAAAGGGATTGTTTACATATTTGAAAATCATACTGAAGTACCATTAATGGGACTGTTGTTGTATTTTTAATCTTAAAATATACTTTTTCTAGTTTGAAAAGTGTTCTCAAAATTTCTCAAAATTTCTGCACCAAAACTGGAAAACTCACTCTTTAAGAGAAAACACAATTGAAAAATGGATATCTCATTCATATTTGATCTAAAGCTTTAAAGGGGGCTGTTGTGAATTGGATTAACCCCTGTAAAAAAACTTTATTGGCTGACCTTGATATCCTTAATATCTATCAGAGCCTTCTCAAGTTGGTTTAAACCCGTCCTACATCATCCAATATTAATCAACACTTTTTATATTCTTATTAAAATGTTGTTTAAAATGTGACTTTTTTAAATCGAAAATTATTATAAAACTTTTTGAAGACTGTGAAAATTACAAAACATGTTTGTGGTTTCATATCTGAAATTTTCCAACCAACGACCGCGAATTTGCTAGAAAGCAACGGGTGGATTTTTACGAATAAGGAAAAGCAAGAAATGTGCCAAGATTTTCAGCCTGTCTCAATAAAAAGGTTTAATTCATACATTGGAACTTTCAAATGAGAAAAAAGTCAAAATTTTGATTTAAAAAAATTTAATTTTGAATTTTTAAATTTTTTAGATGTGTCCCTGACACCATCCAGCTGGCTCTGCATTGCTGTCTTCAACATTGCCTCCACACTTGCCTGAAAATATGCTTAAAGGGAGTGTTCGCCCAAAAGGAGAGACGGCGTGAAAAAAAAATAATTTAAGAAAAACAATAGTTTAATTTTGATCCCACGGTTGAAGAAACATCTAAAAGAAATCGAATAATTTTGGTACATCTTATACTCTCGTTTCTTTGAGAGCATTCCCTTAACTAGAGAGTTTTTCCTGGTTTTTACTCAATGTTATGCTGAATTTTTTTACATACAATTCATTTCCAAAAATCATTTTTTTCGAGCGAGGATCTTAAAGGAAAAATTCCTAGAATGCATATTTTATCAATTCTTAATAAAGTTCCGATTTTTTTTTTTTTGGGGGGGGGTAATTACACAGTACGGGGGAAAACTACACAGAACGTGGATAAATTACACAGGATAGGCGGAAATTCAACAAGACATGGGGAAATTACACAAGACATGGGGATATTACACAGGACAGGGAGGAATTACACAGGACAGGGGAAATTATACACGACAGGGGAAATTACACTAGACAGAGGGAGTTACACAGGACATGGGAAATTACACGAGACAAGGGGGAATTACACAGGACATGGGAAATTATACAGGACAGGGGAAATTATAGAGAACGGGGGAAACTACACAAGACAGGGGGAAACTACACAGAATAGGGGAAGTTACACAAGACAGGGGAAAATTACACATGACAGGGGTAAATTACAAAGGATAGAAGAAAATAACACAGAACAGAAGGAAACTACACAGAAAAAGGGGTTAATTTTATAGGACAAGGGGAATCTACAAGAACAAGGGGAAATTATACAGTAAGAGACGCCATATATTTAGGTACACTTTTACCCCTTGAAGCAATAT